GTACCAATTATGTTTATAATATTAGGTACGTACGACACTTCGACGTATTACGACAATACTGCCTATATGTATAGGTACAACTACATATTATATTAGGTATTTAAAATATTTTTTATTATAAATATGTGTAACATAGCACATATAGGTGGTACCTATACTGATCATTCCGAAAAATATAAAATAATTTGTGTAATTTCTAGATAATGATATTATCTTAATAGCTTACATGATTTTTGCTAGCGGGTATTCCGTTTTAATAAATGTCTCATTTTATCGGCTGTAGATACTAAATGCAATCGATGGATACGCCAACATCTTACCTCAATATCGTTCATCGCAATTGATATATTATAACATTTTTGAATCTCATAATTTTATTTCACAAGTGGCTTTTTTAAAATCAATTATGATAAAAATATATTTTTATATAATACTATATAAAATGTTACATTTAAATATGGATATGGTACTATTTATATACACTATACACAATTCTAGTTTAAACTATAGGTTTGATAGCATGCAGATGTGTTTAGAATTCAGCATATCGAGTTATTTAAACGCTTTGTGTAGTGTATTATTAATCATTATTTATTAATATACTTGTCTTTTTTTTTGAGGTCTGATAAATCTATAGCGAATTAAATTGTTTATTTCTAACCCGATAGCATGTGTGGATAAAATTACTTAAAATTCTTTTAGATTCTGAGCGGAGCGATGAATGCATTAATTTTATAATGATGTGTGTTTTTTTTTTAATTTTTATTTGTGTCTGTACACAATAAGTACCTAATCGAAATAAGGTTTCGATTTTTCAACTTCAGTATCTTGTTAGATAGGCAAGTGAATTTAGTGGGTGCATTAGGGAGGTCAAAATTCACAATAATTTTCAAAAGCGCCAGGAAAAACAAAAAAATAATTAAGAAAAAACTGGAATTTTTACACAAAATCGATTTTGGTGTTTAGTGTAACTCTAAAACAAATGACCGTAGACACATTACATTTTCACTGGTTGCTTATATTAGAATTTCCTAGATGAGTATCTATATAGTACAGTAATCTGTAAGGTTGGTACGGTAAGGTGTTGTCACAGTTATTGTTATAGTAGGTAGGTAGGCAAACACGTGTATGTGGTGCAAGGTTGTTACTACTAAGGACCCGAGTGGTCACCCATCCTCGAACTAGTAACAGCGGGCGTTACTTACTCTCAGTGGTATTAGAGTGACTGGTACCTCCAACGCATCAAGCCAGTCCCACAGGTAAAATTCTTTGTATAACTAAACCTACCGGTAAACTCATTTTTATAATCTATTTTTCAATTTATACCTTAATTATGAATAATACCTTAAAAATATGCCAAAAAATTAAACTAATATTTCAATATACATCTGTATCTCATTATTTACTATAGTAAGACAGTAAGTATTCACTAAGAGGACTCTACACAAATGCGTTTGTTGTTTCCGTCTTACAAACATACGACAGCAAATTTTCGTTCACCAGTTTTAATAGTGTGCTGTTAGTTTTGATATAAGAGTGAATGACATATTATCAAACTTTTAGGTAAGAACATTATAACTGTGCTTAAGCGTCGGCGATTGTTTCGATATTTTAATTTTCAAGCTAAAAATGGGTATGTGAAATATTACAAATTAAAAATGCTCATATCTTGCTTTAAAATTAAAATATCAAAAAAAAGTTGATGCTTAAGCACAGATAATATTCTTACCTAAAAATTTGATAATGGATCAATTCACTCTAATATCAAAACTATAATCACATTATTGAAACTAGTGAACGAAAATTTGCCATACCGTACGTGTAACATGTGTAAGATTGAGACTACCTATTAAAACCTATTTAGGTATACCATATATTAATATGTCTTTGAAGTTTGAATAAACAATTTTAAATATAAATATAGCTGTCTAATTCCAAGCAATAATATTTTCTATGTTCACACTTTGTATCTTATATTGTGTAGCTTGTTAAAATTATTATGAATATTTTATATTACAGTTTACTGACAGTATCTATTTTTAAATGCGAATTTCTAAGAACAATTATCATTACCTATTTACCTATGTTTCTCCGTTTAATTAATTTTAATATTATGTCAAAGGGTCAAAGTTAAACAAGCATTTTGTTATCTAATTTCATGCTTCATAAGGCAGTAACAAATATTTACTTTTATTATTTTATGGTCTGCCCAATCTAAAATCTTTATTACCTACACCAATGTTTTTATTGTTTAAAAGAAGGTTATAAGGTTATATTAATGTGTTATATTATACATTGTACAATCCATTATAATATTGATATATTAAACTTACACTTGCTTCAAAATATATACAAGTGAATGAGACGAGCTGTGACAAATAGGAACAAATAATAGAGAAGAAAATAAAACAAAAACTATATTATTGTAAAATATATTAATACCTACATCACTTTTTACATTACTTATCAGTTATTTTAATAAAAATAAATTTGATTAATATCAATACACAACATGTTTTATAATAATATACTATTAACTTTGAAGTAATAATATTATTTAAACCTAAGTGCTTACTAAGATTTTAAAATTATTTATTTATATATAATGAATATCAATGGTTTTCAATACGAAAGGAAATTGTTTTAGAAGTTAATGAATATTCATTATACATTTATAAAATGTATAAGTTAGGTAGCTAGGTATCTCACCAAAGGGCAAAGGAATATCGGTCTACACTACATTATCGATTTTTCTCGCCGTTATATATATATACTTAAAGACTATACTATATAGATGCAAAGGAGTATAATATTTGTTTTGATTATAATAGAAAGACAATTTCAGAAACCTTTAAAAAAACAATTTTAACTACAACCTTGAATAATAGGAAACAGACAAATATAATATGCGCAGTAGGTAGGTATGTATAAAATATATGAAAAATATTAAACTTTTTGGCACCGCATTTAACATTTACCTGCATGCATTTTTTTATATTTTTCAATACTAACAAACAGTTTTTTATGCAAGCTAATGATTATAGAGCTAGTATATTGATATTTGAGTATGCAGTATAATATATTATTATAACGTTGACGTAAATATATATAATTATGCATTGCTTAAACTTAGGTACCTACCTAGTTGATAAGTATTCCATGTATTTTTTTTTTTTTTTGGTCTATTAAATTTGTTACTAAGTAATATATAAATGCATTTTGTTCACTGATCGAATGAAACATAAAAAAATTCTAGTGCATACATTTTTGGATTTGTTATTAAAAAAGGTTTATTTGTTGGTTTTGAAATTTTTCAACGCTTATTTGATGATGAGATAAGCTTTTTAATAGTTATAAAAATACATAGATTAAAAACGTCAAAGACATATAATTAAAAACATTGTTTAAAATTGTATTCTTGTGGTCATGTAATGAACAATTCATGACCAACAATAATAATATATGTACCTAGAAATTGGAATTAGGTAGATATCAGCTATACCTACTATAACTACTTCGTATCTATAATGCAAATTGATATAGTTGATTTGAAGATTATAAAATATTTTTAATATTTTAATATACCTAGTAATAGAGTTACATTTTTAAATTTTACATAATTTTCAATGTAAAATCATTAAAATCCAAAATTTAAAATAAAACTAATATTTGTATATTTCTTTATTTTTAATTTTGTTTTTCCAAGTGCATACCATACCTAGTCAATTTTATGTTTATAAGTGAATCATTCAATCATACACAAAATGTAATTTATAATCCATATAATATTATAAATGATAATGTCATGTTGCAGTCAGCCGAGGTGGTTTCGCGGGGTTTTATATTCAAATATTCAATAATCTGTGCAACCAAAATAATTTATACTGATATGATGGCTGTATGTTATTGCTATGTTAATGACGTTTTGGTAAAATAGGCTCAACGTCATTATTCGGTATCGCATCTACAGTCTGTACTGCCCAATATCCAGTACCCATAGAGATTTAATAAATAATAAAACTCTATCGCATTGTGATTTTCGATAAGTGCGGCAGCCAGTGTTGAATCAGACAATTTTTCTGGAGGGGCTCACTTTTGTTTTGTTTGGGAAAGTCTATATGTGCTGGCAGTACGGTATAAAAACGATATATTTTAGTGAACATCATTAGGTGCGGTAATCGTAAAGAGTATTGTAAATTTAATAAATAGGTACATTTTTTTAAAAGTTGCGTTATTGTCAGGGGGGAGGGGCAATGCCCCCCTGACGTTTACCTGGATTCAACACTGGCGTCGGCGTATTACGTACCTACATTAAATATACAATATAAATCCACACTTCACCTGTCTAATGACCTAGATTAAGCTGTTGTACAGACCTATAGATAATACATACCTACATGTCATATCGTTGTTTTCAATTTTAGACACGAATACGTTAATTTATGTCTCTCGCCGACTCTGCCGACCAGATGATAATAATAATATCATATAATATCATAGTACGTTTGTGTGTGGTGCGACTTACCTACATATTATGGCGTTCGGCGTTCCGTTCGCAACGTAATGTAATGTACATATAGCTGGTAGTATAAATTATATTATATAGTCACGTAATTCTGCGTGAGTCGGGGAGATCTACGACGGCGGTGTTAGACACGTATATTAGTAGTTAGTCTCAGATCTGTGACGTGTTTGAAAACTGTGCCGGCATCATAATAGTGTATAGTCGTGTTGTGTAGGTAGGTATACCTCTATACCTAACAAATAACTAAATACCTACCTGTACAACCCCACAGGTTATTAATTATTGTTAGTTATTCATTTTCTCTATCCCTTTGCCGTTTACCGCCGCTTGTTTTCAATTAATTACCTACTAAAAAACGGTACAACGAGTGTATTTTAAATTAAACTATATATTATATTATAGTGACATCATACATTTTTGGTTGTCGTCTACTTTTGTTTTTCTCATACCACATAAATTATCATCCTTATACCACATGGAACGCAATCAATTCGTATGGCTGTGCAAAGAACTCTTTCAACGTTTGATTTCCGTAAAAATCAAAACGTATGTATGTAAGTAATAATCATGATGATCTTATTTAACATAATGAAAGTATTTAGTAGAACTCATAAAGAATTAATATATTATAAGCTTCCTGTTTAGTATTATTATTAATATTATTTATATTATAAACATGTAATACAGGCAGCATACTACTGTAACTGTAGGAACCTTTACTTTTGGTAAATATTCCATATCCACTTTCGTATCACTTTCCATCGAAGAAGCTGGAACCTATTTTAATGTAGTGTTACCAACTTGTACCTACAGTGTCGTAGTGAACGATACGTTTGATACACTCCTTTATTATTTTCTCTAGATAATAAAATAATAATAATAGGTAAAATGTTAAAATAAAATTGTATAGTTACGGCCGTAGGTACTGGCATATTAAATTAATTTCTGCAAGTGATAGACAACAGACAAGTGATTTTCAAATAAACAGGGAGCATTAAAAGTCTACTAAATGAATCATTTTCTGATATTTTTCAATCAAATATTAATTTATAAAAAATATGAGCTAGGATATCGGTACGTCAATACGTCATGTAAGATATATTTTTTATCATGAAATATAATACAATACCTAGTATAATATTATTACGAACCCTGCAAAGATAGGTAACAATTATTTAAAATATCTAGGTTAATACTTAATTGTCCACCAGCCACCTATATTAATTATAAGGTCAAAATTAATTCCATTAACACCAGTCCACTGATGGTTTAGATTTAGTATCACTGACAACTGTATTAGATACAATTATACGACGTAAATAAACAGTCAGTGGCGAAAAATTAAAATAGATTGGGGAGGCTCATATTATCCAAATTTTAACAATTCCCTCAAAGGCTCAAACAATACACAACTTCACTAGTGATAACTATTTAATATTTAGGTATAGCTTACATTTTGGTACCTACTGCCTATTATTCATACTGTATACATTTCTCCTGACTTTCCTCTGCTTAAACTTTAGTTACAAAACATTAGTTTTCACATAAATAGCCATTTTTTGCCGGGTTACATAAACAATTATTAAACATTTAATGAATCAATATTGAGCCAATGATCTCTTAAACATTATTTAATGTAACTAATATTTTATTCATTAAATACCATTTAAAAATAATATATTGTAATCAATCAATTAATATACCTACCGGCAAACTAATAACCAATTTATTTGGTATGTATACACAGACACGTGAATACGTGATTTACAATATGTATTTATTTATTCTATGAGTCATCCTAATGATATTGGTATTGTAGCTATCTATTTTATAAATAAGTGTTTATTTAGTTTTTAGAATTTAAACCATGATATTTTAATCATAATGATTTGTATTAGTTGTTAAAATTAAAAGTTTAAGTATACTTAAATGGTAAAATATTATTAGCCCCACTTTAATCTTTTACTTATAATTAATAAAAGTTATTACTTAGGTATTAACCAACTCATTTGTTATTTGTATAAAATGTAATTCTATTATTCTATGAATGCAAAACATATTGGGTATTTTATTGAAATTTAGATAAGTGTAAAATTACAATATATGGAAATATTAAATATCTAATATAGGAACCAATGAAAATGCGCCAAGCGTCAATTCTTGTATATAGTAGATAAAAAATGTATTAAATAATGTCAATATATTTGTAAATTAATTTTATAAAAGTTTAAAGCATAACTAATTTATCAAATAATATCAAATATTTGAAAATTGTAAGGGGACTTTTTTGGGAAGGCAATATGGTATACTAAAATTAAATTATTTTTTATTTTCACATAATTGACAACTAGCAAGGCACAATGCATATAATATTATTATGTTATATTTACTAAAATATTTTTAAATTGTTTATGTTAGGTATATTAATTATAAAATTAATATATTAATATTATTATAGAAATAAATAATTACGATTATGTCCTAACTTAAAGACTGGTGGGATTTTATTACAATAGGTATACATATTAATATAATATTATAGTGTCAAATTATATGGGCACTAGAAAAAATAGGCTTTATTCATAATAAACTATGAAGCATATACGTATCGTTGATTATTGATTATGATTTACGACCAAAACCGTTGTGTTGGTGATTCAGGGGAGTGATGTGCAGATGTGCTGAGATGTTGGAACGCTGGTCGCTAGGCCATCCCATAACTGATTCATTCCAGTATAAAATTAATGTAATATGGTTCGAAAACTATTTATGTAATTTTGGGTTAAATCTAAATTCAAGTTAAAATGCCTACAGGATGTTTACAAAATAAAAATAGTTGTAATATATTATGTACCTACCTATTATTATTTATTTGACTTAAGTTTGTAAACATGAAACCATTGTAAGTAGCGTGTAAAATAATGTAATATTGATGTAAAAGGTCAAAGGACCGTATTGTGTATTGTATTCCTAATCTTGAATCTATGAAATGTCTACAATAAGAAACTTTAAAAATTGGTACATTTCTTCTACACAAAAGGTAGTTGACTAACAATAAAAACAGAATAACATCATTGTAAAACCTATGATATATAAAATATATATAATGGATATTCATTATTCATTTTCTCACAGATTTAAATGATAGTTATATTCATATACCTAGTACAAAAGTAACCTACTAGTAACAACCTAAAAAATATTACAGATGTGATAATTTGTATATTTTTATTAATTTCAAACAGTTTTATTTCTAATTTTATTATAAACCAAATACTAATATACCTAAGTATGGTGCTTGATAACTCGTACAGTAATATATTAATATAAACATTTCACTAACATGTCGGAAACATGATAACATCTACATTTGTATAATATATTAATATATTATTATGATTTAAATTCATCTTTGTTGGGTAGTTTGTTAACAATTATTATTGTACATTTTGGAAAACGTCCAAATTTCAAATTAATTTCTTCAAATGTATTAGTTATCAGTTTATCACTTATCAGAAACAAATTATGTTTTATTAAATAATTATATAATTATTATACAGGTAAAAGTATTCTCTGTATCATTATTGCAATACGCGGTATTAATGTATTATTTTAGGATGAGTTTGCAACTGTTGTATGTACTATTACTTATATGAAACTGTAAATTTTTGTGGTTGCAATAAATGAATAAAATAAAATAATGATATTATTGTTGATATAATGTTATGTATTATTAAACATAAATATTTTTTTTTTATGCCCACGTATTTTGTTTTGGTATCAAGTAGAAAGGGTTTTTTATTACTTAAGGACGAAGGTTAAGGGAACGTGGATATATATTTTTATTTATTTCAACCTGCCATTTTGCGTACCACTTCGTTTGTGAATGTGAGTTTGTACATTTTATGACGAGATGTCTGACTGTCTGAGTCTTGGTGAATGAATATGATTGCCTTATCGTCCGCATATGCAGCCACCTTAGTGTTGGTGGTGAATGGGTTGGGCTGAAGTAAATATATTGAAGAGTAGCTGGAAAGGAATAGCTGCTTGAGGGATGCCAGCTTGTATTTAACATAATATGTGCTGAACAATATTGTTACCAAATCTGGTTGCAAAATGCCGATCGTAGAGATTTAAAAAAAAATAAAATATATGAAGGATGTAACGATGTTTAAGTATTAGATCAGACACAATCGAATGATTGAAAAACGTCTAAAAAAAACTGTCCATTATATTTTTTTACGCAAACTAAGCGATATAAAAGATAAACGAGGAAACGGATCTGCAGATAAATATAGTCAAGTGTCGTTCCCGGAAACCAAATTGATTGTTCGGCAATATTTTTTAACATAGATATTTTTTTAAGTTAGATATTTAGTGTTCATAATTCTAGAGAGTGGCCTTAGAAAGTAAATTTAAAAGGTTATGCATTTGTTGGTGTAAAATGTATATGGTTAAGAATTTTAGATAGGTATGAAGATTTCTGTAATGTCCGAGCGCTTACTTGGCCAGTACGATGGCATTTCTGATGGATTTGTTACTAAATTATTGTTGTTTATAATTTGATATAAAATTATCTCTTTGAATATTTGAGTAATACCTACCACCGTTGTGCATTGTTGGCGCTTAAAACTCCATCTGATGAAAGTATGAAACTGTGATCAAGAGTAGGAAAGAAACGATCGTAATTGAGAACAGAATATCTACATGAGGAACAGCATACAGATGCTATAATAATTGTAATAGGTATACCCAGGTAGTAGGTAAATTATTTAAATTGTAACGATAATTTTATGACAGCTGATTATAAAAAGTGTGCATTAATTGGTTGCATAAATACAACTGTTTAACGTTGTTAGAGAGGATTTAATTATAATGGTCACTTAACTGTGGGAAAAATTATCTGGATTTTTATAATTTGTTTTGTAGCCTGGATCGTTAATGGATAAACGTTTTTACACATTTATATTTTACAGACTAATGTGATGATGGATCACAAAAATTAAAGCTATAATGATTTTGTTTTATAGAAGATTTATAAATTAATTGGTGTGACAAGATGGTTTAGTTGCAAATAATTTTGTTTTAATATTGTCTAATACGCATTCACATTTCGCATGAGTAGGATATGTATGAATTTTTATTATTAGTTTTTATTTATGTTTTAATTGTATACAATCTTGATTGGTAATACGCTTTTGCCATCGTTATAAGATGAATTAGACGCCGATTACGAAGTGGTGTTCGTGTGTTACCTATTTAATCTATGACCTAAAGGTCACGTATGCGACTGCCAACTGGTGAGTTTAAGCTTTAGATATGCTAATGCCTAATTGAATTAAATATTGTACCATAAACAATACGTAATTTACAATTTATTATATTTAATAATTACTTTACTTGGTAAGTGTTGACGATCGACGATTAAATGAGTAGGTGTAGAAAGACATTACCTAGGCTGTTGCGCTGCATCAAAAAATTAACCGATTTAAATAAATCACGATAAATTCCATTAGAATTATAAAAGCTGTAAACATTTCTTTGAAATAGTAAC